TTTTGCTGCCTATGGAGTCTTGTAGGATTTTTATGGTTTCCCGTCTTACATTCAAGTCCTTTAGCCATTTTGAGTTTGTTTTTGTGTATGGTGTAAGTTGATGATCTAGTTTCATTTTTTTGCATGTATCTGACCAAATTTCCCAGCACCATTTATTAAAGAGACTGTTTTGACTCCATTGTATGCTCTTGCCTCCATTGTCAGATATTAATTGAGCATAATGGCTTGGGTCGATTTCTGGGTTATCTGTTTGGTTCCATTGATCTATATGTCTTTTCTTGTGACAGTAACAGTACCGGAGTCCCCCAGTCCTTTCAGCCCCCCAGCCGCCCAGAGCCGGCCCGAAGTGCAGGCAAGCCTCGGATGGTGGCTGCCCAGGGCTGCCTGAGGCTTGCACTCCCGGCAGTGGCAGCAGCAGAGGTGTGATGGGGGCATTGCCTTCCCCTGAGAGCTCCTGGACTGTGAGAGAGGGGGCAGGCCGGGCTGAGGGACCCCCCTCTAGTGCATGAATTTTCATGCACCGGGCCTCTAGTTTAATTATAATGTGTCTTGGTCTTTGGGGGTTCATCTTATTTCAGACTCTGTGAGCTTCTTAGACTTGTGTGAGTTTTTCTTCCCTATATCAGGCAAGTTTTCTGTTATTATTTCTTCAAACAGGTTTTCTATTCCTTGCTCAGTTTCCTCTCCTTCTGGCACCCCTATTGTGCAGATGTTGTTTCTTTTCGTGTTACTAATGTTGTGGCCTCACCTCATAACAAAGAAACAGAATTTCTGGAGGATGAGGCCCAGAAATCAGGATTTTAAAAAGATTCCCAGGTGATTTTAATGTGCAGCCAAGGTTGAGAACCACTGCTCTAGGTAATATCTGTCCTTTCCGTCCACGGATTGCCTCACCAACTGTGTTTAATTTGCCAATTCCGGGTGAGTGTTGTTCGATTCAGCTCTTCCTTTTTTTTTTTTCTTTTTCTTTTTAAAAAAAAATATATTTTATTGATTTTTTACAGAGAGGAAGGGAGAGGGAGAGGGACAGAGAGTTAGAAACATCGATGAGAGAGAAGCATCAATCAGCTGCCTCCTGCACACCCCCTACTGGGGATGTGCCCGCAACCAAGGTACATGCCCTTGACCGGAATCAAACCCGGGACCCTTCAGTCTGCAGGCCGGCGCTCTATCCGCTGAGCCAAACCGGTTAGGGCTCAGCTATTCCTTCTATCTGCTCTGTGAGAAGGCGCAGGGCCCGTCCTCACATTCATTGCCACTTTGTCTCCCCCTGGACAGACATTTTAGGTGCCCGCAATCGGGGAGTCTGGAGTCCCGGTGTTCGTGGGTTCGCAGCTGAGGCAGCTGGTCCCTGGGCGTTGTGGTTGTATGGTCCTGAAGGTATCTGTGGGCTTCCGATCACAGCCAGTCTGGCCTTCACGATGGCACGGTCTCTGTGGCAGAGCCGGCGCTCCGGGAGAGATTTCAGCAGCAGTAGAGGCTGCCCGGCCAGGGGAGCCCTGTCCACCAGTTCCCAATAGTCCCTTGGAATATAGCCGTCCCTCACTCACAAATACAGACACTCCCCGCACGTCCGTGCACTCTCCTTTCGTTCTTGCGCTCACACACTATCTTGCAGCCTGCTCTCCCGTTAGCAGCCATCTTGGCTCCCTTGGCCTAGCTATTTTTTTAAGAGTCTCTTGTAATTCACCTCAACAGTTTTCAAGTCTATTTTAGGAACCTTTCAATCTTTTTTTTTTTTTTTAATACAGTGATGTACTGTATTTTTTAGAGAGTAAGATCTGCTTTGTTGATTTCAAAGTCATGGGGAAAATCTTAAATTATATGTATTCTTACATCCTTTTCTCTACCTAGTCTCCAATGCTGAGTTTTATTGGACTCCCAGAAAAATGGGTGAGGTTGTGCTTCTCTTGCTGCTCTTTGAAAGAGCTTGACTGTCTATAGTTTGTTACCATTTCTTTTATTCTAATGTATTCTTTTTTCCTCACTCTGGGATTTGGGAAATATAGAAGACCTTACAGCTTTCAAGTTTAGAGTAATGGCCCATCTCTTAAATTTTAAGACAACTCATGTCACGTTATGAAAAACAAAGAAAGGGAGTGGTTGGCTGCCACGGCAGAAATCATGATTATGATGGAATGACCCCCAAGTCCCAAGCCTGGTTTTCAGATATCTTAGTTCAATACACTTTTATTGATTCTTAGAGGTGTGATCAAACTCTGAATATTGGTTTACATTAAGCTTATATGAGATTGGTAAATCAGACTTCTGAACTTTCACTAAGAAGTAAGAGTGGTTAATAATAGGACCGAAATACTAACCTCAGCTCTACAGAGCAATTTCTTCATTATTAAATTCTATTTGGATAAGCCCATAAAGATCAAATGATTGTTTTTTAAATAGACTCTGATCAGAATAATGGCATTTGGATGATCTTAAAGGATGTTATCAATTCTGGTAGTCTTACACAACATTTTATGTTTTCTAGGTTATTGCTGGTATATCCATATCATTCAGAAAGGGCACTTGCTTTGCCAGAATGTCCTCTAGACACAATGGGAACAGTTCTTAACAGTATAGTTCAGTGTTAAGTATTTTGTATCAGGCTATAAAGTCAGTTGTTTTTCTATCCTGAAGAAATTAAAATATACAAAGATAGTTTTTAAATCAATATTTAACAAAACAAAGAAATAGATGTGCTGTTTCTTGTGCAGATGATTCTTCTGACCATTTATATTCTTTGTTCAAACAGCTTTTTGGGATAACTTTCTTTTTTCTGTGTTTTCACTACACAGTCAAAGTCATTTCTGTGTTTGAAAAATAGCACTACGTCCCATCAATAGGGAGGTAGCACAGCATAAAGAAAGTAACTTTAACTTTTTTCCAGTATTTTGTAGGGAAAATATACTTAACATAAGATTTACCATTTTAGTCCTGGCCAGTGTGGTTCAGGTGGTTGAGTGTCATCCCGTGTACTGAAAGGTCGCCAGTTCAATTCCTGGTCAGGGCACATGCTCAGGTTGCAAGTTTGGTCCCCTGTCAGGGTGCATACAGGAGGCAACCCCTTGATGTTTCTCTCTCACATTGATGTTTCTCTCCCACCCCTTTCCTCTTTCTCTAAAATCAATAAAAACATTTTTTTTAATTTACCATTTTAAGTACATTTTTAAGTGTGGTGTTCAGTGTTATCACATTCATAATATTGTGTAACCATTGCCATCTCCATAACTCTTCTTGTAAAACTGAAAGTCTCCCAATCAACAATTATTTCCCATTCTTTCCCCAGTCCCTGGCAACTTCCATTCTGCTTTTTGCCTCTGATTTTGACTATTCTGAGTACCTCATATTAGTGAAATTTTTGTGATTGGGTTATTTCACTTAAACAGTAGCTTTAATTTTTAGTTGGTTATATTCAAAGCCTGATTCTGTTACCTTCCCAGTCTTATAGCACTGGTTAAATTGCTTAAACCTTTTTGAGCTTCAGGTTTCTGTTGATAAAGTGGAGTTAATTCCAATTCTGTAGAAAAAACTAACAAAAGACTAAATCTAGAGAGATTAAGAGCAAAACCAAGAGAAAAGATATCCTTGAAACCAAGTGAAAGACATGTTTCTAGGAGGGAGTGATTATCTACATCACGTATTGATCAGAGAATAAGTAAAAGGTCTGAGAAACGAACTTTGGATATAACCATGTGAGGTCCCTGGTTTTCTTCTTGGCAGTTTTTGATGGAATGTTAAAAGCATGTACTGATTTGGATGGGTTTAACTGGGAGAAGACTAGGAGACTGATAGCATACACATTCTTGAGGATTTTTGCTTGTAAAGAGGATGAGAGAAAAAAGTGTGAAAACTGGAGGGAGAAATAAGGTTAAGACTTTTTTTTTTAATAGAAGAAAATGTGCCATGTATATGTATAGAAGATAAAGTTCTGATGTGGAGAGAAAATTTGACATTGGAGCAAATTGCCAAGAAATGTCCTTGTAGGCAAGGTGATGGGGTAGAATAAAGTGCCAAGAGGGCAGGCACTTTGTCCCTAGTAAAAGAGAGTAGATGGGCATAGGTCAGAGTTCATACAAAGGCCTCTTCTGGTTTTCTGTTTTAATGAGAAAATAAAAGAGCAGGAAGATAGAGGGATGAGTGTTGGAGATTTGGAGAAGTCAAATAGAAGAAGGGGCTAGGAGAATTTACAGTGTAAATTCTGGTCCATGTAATGAGTTTATTTGAGGGAAATGATTGCTGACTGGCTCTCTACTATAAATTAACATGATGGTAAGTTTTTCTCTAGCTATGTTTAGCTATGCAGGCAGAGAGTTGGTTAAAGTGGGTTATGGTTCATCCAAATGAAGAAAGTGAAGTAAAACTGGGCGGGAAGTTTGAGGGAATATGCACAAGAGTGAAATTTCATTCCACTTAAATATTTCAGAATGTGTCTATAACAGGTAAGGATTAAAAAAAAAAAATACCCACAAGCAAAATGAACAATAGTCCTTTGATATCAACTTATATTTAGTTTTTTAAATTTGTCTGGTTCTCAGAAATGTTTTTTTACAGTTAACTTGTTCAATCCTCCATTTCTTCAAGGAGCTCCTAATGGGAAATGTTATTTAGAGATTATAATATGGGTGTCTATTTTTTAAAAAAGATGTTCTTTTCAGTTATTTGATTCTTCATAGTACTGATTGGTTTCTTTTCTTAACTCAACAGGCATGCCCAAAGAAAAATACGAGCCCCCTGACCCTCGGAAGATGTACACAATTATGTCCACTGAGGAAGCAGCAAATGGAAAGAAATCACATTGGGCAGAACTTGAAATAAGTGGTAAGACAGACATGCAAGCATAAATTTATGGTATGGAAATTAAGTTATGGGTAGAAAATTAAGTTTTTTATGCCAGTTCATAAAAGTAGCAATGTTGTATTTTACCAGCACTAATTTATCTTGGAAGCAGGAAGGTCCAGTGGGTAGAACATGGTTTGAGTCAAAGTTCAAAATTCATTCAGTGTGTGTGTGTGTTTAATATATTTATTGATTTCAGAGAGGAAGGGAAAGAGAGAGAGATAGAAACATCAATGATGAGAGAGAATCATCAACTGGGTACCTCCTGCACGCCCCCTACTGGGGATCAAGCTCGCAACCCGGGCTTGCACCCTTGGCCAGAGTCAAGCCTTGGGACCCTTCATTCTTGCAGGCTGACGCTCTATCCACTGAGCCAAACTGGCTAGGGCCCATTCATTGTTTATGCTCTCAGTACCCGTGTCCTTTTATAAAATTGGAATAATATCAAGGATGAAATGAAAATAACACATGTGAAATGCCTCATGTGCAAAGGTTTGTTCTGGTACTTAATTCTCTGATAGAGTAGGATTGAGCTTTTGCATTATCAAATTACAGATTTCCAGTGGGGTTGGACCTGCTTGTTCTAGTATAAGTTCTAGGATAGATTTGTTTCTCCTCACTTTCTTCACTTGCCTTTTTAAATCTGAGTCTCTGAGGACAGTCCTGTTCAGAAACAGAATCTTACAAATTTGAAGTAGATCTCAAAGTTCCTTTCTACCTTTAGTGCTTCGTAGACATTTTCCGAGAAAATGTGAGCTCCCAGATCCACAGAGGATATCCCCAGCATCCTTGCCAGTGAACATGCAGCATTTTTTTTTAATACTTCAAAGGTGAAGGGACATTACTTCTGAAGCAACCAGTGCTAAAGAAGTTTTGTTTTAATGTTGGCCTAATGTGCCTCCCCATACTTTCCAGAAATAATACAGAGGAAGTTTCCTCTTCTTTCTGTCCTTGATTTTTTTTTTAATGTCATGCAGCAAACATACATGTGCTATGTGTACAATATTTTGCCAGGTGCTGTACTAGGCATATGGAGATATATAAATGAAAACTCACAGTCCCTCTCACACTGGAGCTTACAGCATATTAGTGAGTGAGAAGATGGGAGTTTACCAGTATAAATAACTAATACACAAACTATAACTGCCAGGTCTAGGTAGAAAAATGTTATACTGGAATGAAATTGAAAATAATCTATACTAATAAAGGGTAATATGCTAATTAGACCGGACAGCTTCTGGACAAAGCCACGGCAGCGGGGGCAGAGGCGGTTGGGGGCGATCAGGACGGCAGGGGAGGACAGTTAGGGGGCGATCAGGCCGGCAGGGCGGGGCAGTTAGGGGACGATCAGGACAGCAGGGGGGCTGGATTGTAAGAGGGATGTCCTGGATTGGAGAGGGTGCAGGCCGGGCTGAAGGAACCCCCCACCCCCCACCAGCCCCCTGTGAACAAATTTCGTGCACTGGGCCTCTAGTGATAATAATATTCTTCCCTTGTTAGCCTAATGAGTGAGTAAACTCAAACTCCCTCTTCTGTAGCCATAGAGATTGGTTTACCTCTCCTGATCTTTATTTTTATTTCTTATTATTTTGTAAATAATTCTTTATTGTTGAAAATATTACATATGTCCCCTATTTCCCCCATTGACCCCCTCCAATTCACCTCTGTCCCAGGCCTTCACCACCCCGTTGTCTTGGTCCATGGGCCATGCATACAAGGTCCTTGATTGATTACCTCCCGCCTACCCACCCTCCCCTGCCTTCACTCTGAGGTTCTGCACTCTGTTCCATGCTTCCATGTCTCTGGATCCACTCCATTCATTAGTTTATTTTGTTATTTAGATTCCACATATGCGTGAAATCCTGTGATACTTGTCTTTCTCTGACTGACTTATATCATTTAGCATAATATTATCCAGGTCCCTCCATGCTATCTTAAAGGGTAAGAGATTCTTCCTTTTTACTGCTGCATAGTATTCCATGATAAAAATATATCAGAACTTTTTTATCTATTCATCAACTGATGGGCACTTGGGTTGTTTCCAGATGTTAGCTATTATAAATTGTTATCTATGACCATAGGGGTGCATACATTCTTTTTTATTGGTCTTTCAGGTTTCTTAGTATGTATTCCTAGAAGTGGGATCACTGGGTCAAATAGCAGTTCCATATTTAATTTTTTGAGGAAATTCTATACTGTTTTCCATAATGGCTGCACCAGTTTGCATTCCCACCAGCAGTGTACTAGGGTTCCCTTTTCTCCACATCTTTGCCAGCATTTGTCATTTGTTGATTTGTTGATGGTAGCCATTCTGACAGATGTGAAGTGATATCTCATGGTCGTTTTAATTTGCAACTCTCTGATGATGAGTGACTGAGTATTTTTTCATATGACTCTTGGCCATCTGTATGTCCACTTTGGAGAAGTGTCTAGTTAGGTCCTTTGCCCATTTTTTAATTGGATTGTTTGCCTTTTCTATTAAATTGTATGACTTCCTTATATATTTTGGATATTAACCCTTTATCAGATGTATCATTGCCAAATATGTTCTCCCATACAGTGGGCTCCCTTTTTACTTTCTTGATGGTTTCCTTTGCTGTGCAGAAGCCTTTTATTTTGATGTAGTCCCATTTGTTTATTTTCTTATTAGTTTCTATTGCCCTAGGACAGTGATGGCAAACCTATGACACGCGTGTCAGAGGTGACATGCGAACTCATTTTTTTGGTTGATTTTTCTTTTTTAAATGGCATTTAAATATATAAACTAAATATCAGAAATATAAATCTTTGTTTTACTATGGTTGCAAATATCAAAAAAGTTCTATATGTGACACGGCACCAGAGTTAAGTTAGGGTTTTTCAAAATGCTGACACGCCGAGTTCAAAAGGTTCGCCATCACTGCCCTAGGAGCTGTATCAATAAACATATTGCTATGAGGGATGTCTGAGATTTTGGTGCCTATGGTTTCTTCTGGGGTTTTTATGATTTCACGACTTACATTTAAGTTTTTTATCCATTTTTAGTTTATTCTTGTGTATGTTGTAAGTTGGTGGTCAAGTTTGATTTGTTTGTATCTGTCCAATTTTCCCCCACACCATTTATTGAAGAGACTGACTTAACTCCATTATATGCTCTTGCCTCTGTTGTCAAATATTAATTAAATGTAATGGCTTGGGTCGATTTCTGGGTTCTCTGTTCTGTTCTGTTGATCTATATGCCTGTTCTTGTGCCAGTACCAGGCTGCTTTCATTACAGTGGCTTTGTAGTATAACTTGAAATCTGATATTGTGATTCCTCCAACTTTGTTCTTCTTTCTCATGATTCCTGTGGCTATTCGGGGTCTTTTTTGGTTCCATATAAATTTTTGAAGTATTTGTTCTAGCTCTGTGAACTATGCTATTGGTATTTTAATAGGGATTACATTGAATCTGTAGATTGCCTTGTTGGGTAGTAACATTTTAATGATGTTGATTCTACCAATCAATGAACATGGTATATTCTTCCACTTGTTTATATCTTCTATCTCTTTTTTCAACGTCCTGTAGTTTTCCAAATACAGGTCTTTTGCCTCCTGGGTTAAGTTTATTCCTAAGTATTTTAATATTTTTGTTGCAATGGTAAATGGGATTGCTTGTTCTGTTTCTCTTTCTGAAAATCATTAGTAGTATATAAAACAGCCATCGATTTTTGGGTGTTGATTTTGTATCCTGCTACATTGACAAATTCATTTATTAAATCTAATAGTATTTTGGTGGAGTTTTTAGAGTTTTCTATGTACAATATCATGTCATCTGGAAATAATGAGAGTTTTACTTCCTCCATTCCAATTTGGATGCCTTTTATTTCTTCTTGTCTGATCTCTATGGCTTGGACTTTCAGTGCTATGTTAAATAAGAGTGGTGAAAGCAGACAGCCCTGTCATGTTCCTGTTCTTATGGGAAATGATTTTAGTTTTTGCCCATGGAGTCTGATGTTGGCTGTAGGTTTGTCATATATGGCCTTTATCGTGTTGAGATATGCTCCCTCTATTCCCATTTTGCTGAGCGTTTTTATGAAAGATGGGTGTTGGATTTTGTTGAATGCTTTTTCTGCGTCTGTTGATATGATCATGTGATTTTGTCTTTAAATTTGTTTATGTGATGTATCACGTTTATTGATTTGCGAATATTGTATCAGCCCGACATTCCTGGAATAAATCCCACTTGGTCATGGTGTATGATCTTTCTAATGTAATGCTAGATCTGATTTGCTAGAATTTTGTTGAGGATTTTAGCATCTATGTTCATCAGGGATATTGGCCTGTAATTCTCTTTCTTTGTAGTGTCTTTATCTGGTTTTGGAATTAGGGTAATGCTGTCCTCATAAAAAGAGTTTGGAAGTGTTCCCTCCTTTTGGATTTTTTTGGAATTGTTTGAGGAGTATAGGTGTTAGTTCTTCTTTGAATGTTTGGTAAAACTCCCATGAAGCCATCCAGACCTGGGATTTTGTTTGCTGAGAGTTTTTTGATTACTACTTCTATTTCATCAGTTGTTATTGGCCTATTCAGGTTTTCTGATTCTTCCTGATTTGGTTTTGGGAGATTGTATTTTTCTAGGAACTTGTCCATTTCATCCACATTGTCCATCTGTTTGGCATATAGTATTTCCTTACAATCCTTTGTATTTCCATGGTGTCAGTGGTTACTTCTCTGCTTTTGTTCATGATTTTTTATTTATTTGGGTCTTCTCTTTTGTTTCTTGATGAGTCTGGCTAACAGTTCATCAATTTTGTTTATCCTTGCAAAGAACCAGCTCTTGGTTTCATTGATTTTTTTTGGTGGTGGGGGGGGGTATTGTTTTTTTAGTTTCTGTCATTTATTTCTACTCTAACCTTTATTATGGTTGCAAATATCAAAAAAGTTCTATATGTGACACGGCACCAGAGTTAAGTTAGGGTTTTTCAAAATGCTGACACGCCGAGCTCAAAAGGTTTGCCATCACTGTTCTAGGTTTTTCATGATGTTCTCTTTCTAATTCTTTACGTTGTAGGCTTAAATAATCTATTGTTGATTTTTCTTGTGGTTTTTTTTTTTTTTTTGAGGTAGGCCTGTAGTTCTACGAATTTCCATCTTCGGAATGTGAAATCTATCCTATATAATAAAAGGGTAATATGCAAATTGACCCTAACAGCAGAACGACTGGGAATGA